GGGGGGGGGGGGGGGGGGGGGATGGTAACTCAAGGAGATGAAAGGACAAGGACGTGGGTTACAGCTGGAAATAGCAAAAAGATCTTCTGCTTCCGTGTTCACCTTTGACCATATCAACATGACAAAAGGGAGAATCGAGATTACGGCCAGTGCTATAACTGAAAGCGGGGGCTGGGGAGAGGGCGGAAAGGGGGGTGATGAAAGGAAGGAAAATGTGGATAGACCCTATCGTAAACCCACACCAGGTCTAGCGTGTAATTCTTCACAGGAAATTGGAGGAATTGTTATTTAGCACATCGATACGTCTTTCGGGCTCTTTTTTAGATTTTTTTTCTTCTCTTCTTTTTTGAATGATTGAGGGGATTCTTACCGACAGTCTTTCTTTTATTCTCCTTTGTGAGTGACAAAGGCTCCAGTTGAATGATATGGCAGTGCTTTCGCTGCTCCCACCGCCACGTCGACGCCATTACTTGGGCTAGCGCGCCTTTGGTACCCACCGAAAACTGGAAAAATGAGAAAATGCTTGATTTTAGGGAATTGGGGGTGATATTTTTACTGTGTAATTTTTCATTTTTCGATTTCTAAATTGGGTAAGGGGGGCTGACGATAAACAAGCGGGAAATTGCTTTCGTCAGAACATGATCGATATATTTCTGCTAATAAATTAGAAATTTTCTTCGAATTTTAAATTAAATGCAATGATTTATTGAATTGAAAATTTGAATTCGGATGAATTCAATTTTTTTCTTTAATTTGAATGTAGTTTGGTAGCCGATATTGCATACGTCATTGGTGTACGTTAGCAGCCAACATTATTCAAATGCACTGTTGGAAATTTTTTGAAATTTCATGGAAGATATTATAGTAAATCTCACGAGAGTGACATTGAATCGGATTTGGGGAAAAAATGGTTATGAAATTTCAAGTTTTAAGTAGAATTCACGGAAATTCATGAGTTTTCAGTGGAACATGAATATTCAGAAACAAAATGACATGAATTTTCAATTTTTCCCTGAATTTTCCTGATTTCTCTGAATTTTCACAGAATAATTGAACTGAAAAATCAAGTATTTTATTTATCTCCAGATCATTTGAACAGAAAATTGAAGGAATATTTGATTTTTCAATGACAAAATTTCCTGAAATTTCAGTGGAAATTGAACGCGATGAAAAATTCCGGAATTTGGCGTGGAAAATTTAGACGAAAATTTTTAACAGCGTGATGAGAAAAATCCGGTTCTTTGCATAGATCGGTATCAATCATTACTTTTAGTAATATTATGAGAAGTTGCACCTTATAGTAATTTAGATTTATTTATCGTAATTGAAATTTGAAAATAAATATAATAATTGGATATTTATTTTCTCAATTATTGGTTGATAAAATAATTCGGAATTTGAAAATTTAAATTGATAGTTATTTTTAAAAATTAAAAAATTGGTGAGTAATATTAACTCTAATTCAAAATTTCGATTATGCTGATGTTTGGTTATTTGCGCGTGAAGTGTGCAAAAAGGGCCCTTTTTTTTACTTATATCATAAAAAGTATATTCGAACTCCTGAAGCCAAAATTAGTTACCCTGACACAAAAAACTGGAAATTTCAGATTTAACGAATAGAATGCTTCCATTCGGAAGTAAATATACCCAATATTAAATATGAAGAGCCAAACATAAGGGTCTATAGCGTTGAGAATCAAATATTAAGAATCAAATAAAGAGTCGAAGAGTCGAAGAGAAATCGCCACATAATAAGATGTATCAGATTGTCTTTTCGCTAATTCATTCATTCAGTTGCATACAACAATCTCAGCAAATTCTCCTTACATCTAAAAAAAATTCCTCCAAAAAAATATCCATCAGCATTTCCCTTAAACTCCCTCACAACCGGGATAATCCCGAAATTCAAAAAAATTGATAGTCCAATAGGGCAAAAATTTCAAACGGCAAATTTACCACGTGGAGTGTCGTTCTGATATATCCACGCGATCGTGAATATTCCAGTCCCTCGGATGGCGAAGCCCAAAAGCAATTTCGTCGTTGGGTAAATCGAACGGAAGCCCCTGGTAACTCCCCTTTCCCCAGACCCCCCTTTTCCCATCCCTGCAGGCACTCGGACATGAGCCTTTTACTTTGAACGATAATGTACGAGAAAAATATCGATATCTATTTTACCCTCACACGTACCTCCTATTTCCATTTTTTATCCCTGTTCTCTTTTTTTTATTTATCCTTCGACATAAAAAAATATGAGTGGAAACTTTCCCGGAAATTGTTGAGATTTTGCGCGACTTGTGATCATATCTGTGAGAGTTTACTACATTTTTCATTCAAGTTCCTAGAAATTTATCGTCACTTTTATGCTCGCTTTCCTTTGATCGACTTCATATTTCCAGATTTTTTTTTCCAATTGCAAGAACTCTGATCACGGAGTGGGGGGAGAGGGCATGAGATGAAAGGGCTCGGAGTCGATAATGATCCCATTATATAGATGGCAAAATTTCAGTTGAAATTAGAAAAAGGACGACCTCTTTTACTCCCATAGAACTTCAGTTACCTGATCTAGGAATTAATTAATGATCTATGGAAATTGATTCAAGATTTTTTCACAAACTACTAGAGCAAAATGAATAATTGTTTTTCCAATTCGATAGGATATTCTAATCTTCATTTTCCTCGCAGAAATTTTATTAAATGCAAAAATATAAAATTGATCTAGAAATCGATAAACGATCGATAAAAATAGATTTAGGATTTTCTCCCAAACTACTAGAGCCAAATGAATAATTTTTTTTTCAATTCAATAAAAAATTTCTTCTACTATCCCGTAAAATCCACTCTGGATCATTTTGCCCCGCTGGCACTCTCATTAGCCATAAAAATCTAAGATTGATCTAAAAATCGATGAAAATAGATTTAGGATTTTCTCCCAAACTGCTGGAGCAAAATGAATAATGTTTTTTTAACTCAATGGAAAACATTTGTAGCTAACTGATGGAAACCATCCCACCCATTTTGCCCCCTTAATTTTAAATGGAGTTGCAGAAATGATTGCACAACGAACTTCTCAGAGAGAAAAAATAACAGATTTTTTTTTCATCACTTTTCTCTCCAACTCTACAATTGTTTTACGCCTCAAGTCTCTTTTAAACCCATCCTTTACAGTTGGCAAACCCGCAGGAA